AGTTTTTAAAATATAGGATTTTTATTAAAGTAAATAAGTGACTCTTAAAAACAATAAATACTTTATGTAATAGAATACTTATCTAAAAAAGCTTACAGGTTTATAATATTAAAATTAAATTTATGTTCATTAAATTAGTAGAGGCAACTATACATTCTCTTTATTAATATGATTGTTCAATACTCTAGCAAAGTCACTGACTGGTTAATAAAAAGCTTCATTAACCTTTTTGGCTATAAAAGGACTAGCTATGTGGAGAATACATAGTTAGTTGTGCTAACTAAAAAAAAAAAAAAAAAAAAAAAAAAAAAAATTATTGGATTTTTTTTTTTGAGAAATGTTTCTTTCGAAAAAGATAAAGATAAAAAAAAAAAAAATAAAAAAAAAGATTTAATTTTTTTTAATTTTTTTTTGAAAGGAGAAAAAATTCAGAGAGGGAGAGAGATTTTTTTAAGAAGATAATAATATTTTTGTAAAGCGTTTAATTTGCATAATATTTATATTTTGAATTTATGAGAGAAATTTTTATACACATGAAGATAAAATTTTCATGTAATTAATATGCATATAATTTATTTCCATTTTTAATAAGTATTTGTGTTTTAAAAATATTTCATATTTTGGATATAAATTAAAAAAAAAAAAAAAAAAAGATCCATATAACCTTAATACACAATTATTTTTTTTTTTTTTTTTTCCTATTTTTATATGACCGGAAATTATCATTAGAATACATTTAACTTATATATTAGCAAAAGAAATTTAATTTAAAAATAAAAATAGTAAAATATTATTGATTCAATAAAGTTCATATATATTATTTTGAAACCATTTTTAAAAATTGGACATTGTTTATAATTTATTTTATATATGTATGCATACATATATAATTTTTTATTCCACTTTCTTTTACATTAAATTTTTGCTGAATGAAATTTTTGACAAATATTAAGTCCAATTATTTTTTATTATAAATTATTCTTTTTTTTTTTTTTTTTTTATATTTTTTTTTTTTTTTTTTTTATTTTTATGAGATTTTTTTATAAAAAAAAAAAAAAAAAACAAATAATTGGTTACATAGTTTTTTAAATTTTAAATTAAAATTGATTTTTTTTGCATTTATTTTTTTTGTTATATTTTATTTTACTTATTTTTTTTTTTTTTAAATTACTCTATTCGTTATTCAATGTTTTAATAAATATTGTCCATGTTTAAATATTAATTTATTGTTTTAATGACTTGTTGACACATTTATATATAATATATATTCATATTTATATATAAAATTGTTATTTTTATTTTTTGTTAATATATATATTAATCAAATAATTTATTCGTTGATCTATTGATTTGCCTTTGTATATATTCATTGATTTATTTATTGATGTTAAATTAAAATCATTAGTTTATTTATATATTCTCAGAAAAAGAAAAAGAAAAAGAAAAACATGTTTACTCTTTAAAAAAATGTCTTCATATATTTGTACGTTATAGAAACAATTTTAAAAGATAAATACTATAAATAACATTAAAATTAATAATTTATATAAAAACATTTATCTATTATTCTAAAGATTAAATAAAAAAAAAGAAAATGAAATTGGATAATTGAAATCCTAAAAAAAAAAAAAAATTTATATTTTTTTAGTTTAGAAAAAGAATAAATATGTTATATTTAAGCATTTCGGTCATTTCTTTTTTTTTATTTAATATATATATAAAAGAGAATTACCTTGTAATGCATATATTTGCTTTTTTTTTTTTTTTTTTTTTTTTTTTTTTTTTTTACAGCCATTCACCTTAGGAAACCTGTGCACCTTACTTGTGTTTTTAAGAAAAAACAAACACCCATATGCTTCCATTAACTAATTTCCGTGGCTTAGTATATGAAAAACAACAGTGCAGAATGCTAATTTCACTGTTTGTACTCCAGCTTTTTGTTTCTATGCAGCTCTCTGTGTGAAAAGCATCAGATGTACTTAGAAAACATGTTTTTCCGAACAGCAGTGCCTGGAAGGTAGACCACAACGTCATCACTACTAATGTGACATAAAACATAGTTCTGAAAAGAGGAGAGGAAGCTAATTCTTGTGTCTGAGATGTCACTGAGTCACTGAATAGTAGAATCTTTCAAGTTGGAAGGTACCTTTAAGGCTTAGCTAGTCCAACTCCTCTTCAAGGAAGTGAGACACCTACAGCTAAGACCAGTTGCTCAGAGCCCTGTACAGCCTGATCTGGAGAGTGTCCAGGGACAGGAGAAGTTTCTCTGTCCATGGTATATATCTTAGCCAGGGCTTAGCAGAAGGTTCAGGACACCTTCCAGATTAATTGCTGCACCTCTTCCACCCAAACCCTGTTCGTGGTGAACTTTCAGTCACCCTTAGCCTTCCTCTTAGACAGGGTCCAGTAGGGCCCCAGTTCCTTAGTAAGAAATGTAGTTTGTTGAAAGGCTGCATGCCCCATCCTCTTCTGGTTACTGAAACTGTGAGATGGCCTCCAACACCAGCACATGGAATGCTAACTGCAGAGATATAGGATGCAAGGGCAGGAGGAAGAAGTGGTGCTGATGTGGCAAACACAGGAAAGAGGCTCATGCATTGTCAACAATTTGGTGGCAGTGTTCTCAACAACTGAAGGTGAGCACAGAATTGTATGGTCCATATAGTAGGCAGTGTTCTCAGGTCTCCAGAAATGCAGAAAGAAACACTATACAGCTTTACAAGAGTTGCAACATCATGAAAATATATGTAGGTATTAGGTACTTTAATACGTGTTTTTCTTTTTTTTTTTTTTTTTTTTTTTTTTGAAGAAAAAAGTTATTTTTACTTTTTTATATAAATAATTCATAAAGCAAAAATATAATTCTTTTTTGTTATACTTAATTTATACCATCTTTAAGTCTATAATTAAATATTTCATTAAAGTATATTTTTACTCACATTTATGTAAAAATCAAAAATGTTAAAGATAAGTTCTTTTCTTATTTGTACTAGTGATGAGACAAATATTTTTTTAAAAATTATCTTTATTACATATAATAATATTGAATAAATGAAAATGAAAAAATTATATTAAATATACCTTATTCTTTTTTCAATAAAATTTTTAGTAAAATAACTTTAAATTTAACTTTTAATAAACAATAAATATGATGTACAAATAAAATACTTTATGATACAATTTACTTTTTTTTCTTTTTCTTTTTCTTTTGTAAATTTTTTATTCTATTTTCATGTTCCTAGTAAAAGTTGTTTAAAATTGATAATATTTAAATGAAAATGTCCTACATTAATAAAAAAAAAAAAAATTAAAAGTTTTACCTTCTCTAATGTTTTAAGAATTTCTTCTTCTTTTAATTCTTTTTCTTTTGTTTCTTCTCTCCATATATTTATATGCATCTTTAATTTTTAGAATTACATAAAATATATATATAATGAATATTTTATTACTTTTTTATCTTTTTCTTTTTTTTTTTTTTTTTTTTTTTTTTTTTCCATTGAATAGAAAAATTATTTTGTGTTTTAAAATTATTTACTAACAAATTATAGATATTTATTAGTAAATTTAAATTTTTAAATATTTATAATTTTTAATTTAATTATTCAATATGAAAGATTTGATGATTTATATTTAATGCTTAATTTGTTTTTGTTAAATATTAATTTATCATGTATAGATATTTTAAATCGAATATAGTATAATTAAAAAACATAATTATAATATTTTATCTTTTTCATTGTTTCTTTTTTCTTCATATTATTTGAGAACTGTTTTACCTTGTATATTTGAAAAAATTACAAGTATAATCTATAAGATTTCTATAGTTTTTAATTATATGTTACATTGAACAACGTGTTAAGAACTATTCGATAATATTAGGAATTGTTTTATATTCAAAAATTTTGTTTAATAATAAAAAAATATATTTTTTTACATCATATTATTAGAATTACTTGAAATAATACAGAAAATTTTAATGGTATAAATATGTGTAAACCAAGTGATATTTTTTTTTAAATTTTACTAAATTTAGAGATTATGGAACATTCAAAAATAATAAAAATATTTCATTTCCCAATGATGATTATCTATATTTATTTGTTAGTGTGTGCATTCCTATATTTTTACAGTACAAAGTAATATTCATCATAAAAAATATATTTATATGTTATATTTTTGAAAATTTTCATTATTCCATAAAAACTAATTTTTATAATTTTAATTTTTTAATGTAATTCCCACTTTATAGTTCTGAAATTGGAAAAAATAATCTAAAAACAAAATTATGTCTAAGTAATGGAAGAATTCTAGCAGAACGACAACAAGGAACAAATAGTAGAAGAGTAGGATCAACCAATCCAATTGAAAGTACTTTCCAGAATTTCTTAGATACTATACCATGTCGTTTATTTAATAAAAAAGAACGATCACCTAAAAATTTTACAGAATTTATTCGTCATAAAAAGGGGATTATAACAAATATGTTAAATTTAGTACAAAATCCTCATGAAAAGTGTTTATTAAATAAAACCATAACTTTATGCAAAAAACTTAAATATGGATCCATATTAAGTTCTGAAGAAAAACCACCTGCCGAGGAATAATGTCTCCAGATGGTTCTTCAACTTTAATTTGTTCATCATCTACATCTTTATCACCATCTACTTTATCATCTACCTCTACTTCATTACCCACACCTACTGAATCATCTAACAAAACAACATTGCCCATATCTACTTTATTACCTGAATCAACCGTATCTTCTGCAACTTCTTTGATATCCACAACTAGTTTATTACTGGTTAATAAAAGGCTTAATTAACCTTTTTGGTAATAAAAAGGACTAACTATATGAAAAATACGTAGTTGGTTGTGCTAACGCGAAAAATAAAAAGAAAAAAAAAAAAAAATTATTGGAATTTTTTTTCAGATTTTTTTCTTTTGAAAAAATGAAGATACGTAAAAAAAAAAAAAAAATATATTTATTTTTTTTTTGAAGGATGGAAAAAAAAAAGAGTGAAGAATTGGTAAAATAAAAATCGAGACTAAGATTTAGCACTAATAAAAATAAGATCTTAAAAAGATAATAATATTTTCATAAAAGAGTTTAATTTGCATAATATTTATATTTTTAATTTGTAAGAGAAAATTTTATACATATGACAATAAAATATTCACGTAATTAATATTCATATAATTTATTTGCATTTTTACTAATTGTTTATGTTTGTTAATTCAACAGCAATATATTTAATTTTTAAACATAACTCATAACAAAGAAACAAGTAATATACATTTAATTAATATTCAATATTCAATAAGGATTTAAATTTTTAATAAAAATAGGAATTTTTATTAAAGTAAATAAATTCCTATTGAAATTAAAGAATGCTGAACGAAGTAGAGCACATAATTAAGAAACACTCGTTCAAAGCATATAAAAATATAAATAAATACAACAAAATCGTAGAGGCATCTCTACATACTCTTTATTAATTTGTTTTTTCAGTAATCTGGTAAAGTCACCGAACACCCAGTCAATAAATCAATTACCTACAACTTCATCTGATTCTCATACTAATTCTACTATTTCTTCTATAAATAATACAAGTGATTCACCTACTACTCTTTCTACGAATGAAATAAATAGTACAACTGCTTTAACGAATAATTCAGTCTCATTACTCCCTACAGAACAAGGCGGTGGCTTAACTAGTGCAACATGCAAAGGATTATTTTGTGGACCAGCTTTTGTTGCTTTTCCTGTTTCTCTTGCTCTTCTTGGGGGAGTTTTGTTTTTTGTACTTCTTTATATGGTAAGACGAAGTTATTTATACAAAAATATATATATAAATTTATATTCTTTTGAAATCATTCATATAAATTAAAATTACATTTATTAAAAATAATTTTTTAATTTACAATATAGTATACTCCTGTTGGAAAATTTCTTGGAAGAGATAATCCAAAAAAAAAAAAAAGCAAAAAAAAGATTGCATGAAATACCTATGGAAAGAATAAATTCTCCTAAATTATTAAAAGTAAAAAAAGCGGAAAATGCAAAGAGAAGTAGATTAGTGGTTAATAAAAAGCTTCATTAACCTTTTTGGCTATAAAAGGACTAGCTATGTGGAGAATACATAGTTAGTTGTGCTAACTAAAAAAAAAAAAAAAAAAAAAAAAAAATTATTGGATTTTTTTTTTGAGAAATGTTTCTTTCGAAAAAGATAAAGATAAAAAAAAAAAAATAAAAAAAAAAAAGATTTAATTTTTTTTTAAAAAGAAAGAAAAAAAAAAATCAGAGAGAGAGATTTTTTTTTTAAGAAGATAACAATATTTTTGTAAAGTGTTTAATTTGCATAATATTCATATTTTGAATTAATGTAATTAATATGCATATAATTTATTTGCATTTTTAATAAGTACTTGTGTTTTGTTAATTCGATAGCAATATAAAATGATTGCTGATTGTAACTCGTAATGAATAAACTAATAATTATAATCAATTAATAGTTAATGTTAAATAAGTGTTTAAATTTTTAATAAAATAAGGATTTATTTATTAAAGTAAATAAATACTTATTGAAGCAAAAGAATGCTGAACGAAGTAGTTTATGATTAAAGATCATTCGTTCAAAGCATATAAGAATATACATAAGTATAAGAAAATCGTAGAGTCATCTCTACATGCTCTTTATTAATTGTTTTGTTCAGTACTCTAGCAAAGTCTCCGAACACCCAGTTAATAAATCAATTAGATAGATTTCTCGTGAATTCCGTTATGACAAGAATTTTCCCTATATAGATGAAGATATAACCTCAGATCAAGTAATATAATGGTAAAATCATAACCAAGGAAAAATTCTAATACGCGTAACTAAATAACAGAGAAACAATATAATATTAAATTAACATAAATATATTTCTCTTTGGTTTAATATATGATGTTTTTCTATTAATATTAATGATAAGGAAAATTTTTTTTTTTTTTTTTGCTAGCTACTTATTTTTAATTTTTTTTATATATAAAGAAGTGTAAATATGAAAAAGAAATGTATAGTTTCTTTTAAGAAATAAAAATTTACTTTATTATTGATTTGTTATTTTCTATGTCTAACACTTTTATAAAGCATAGTATGACTAATTTCGTAAAATGTACGTAAAATAATATATATTATGTTTTTTAAATCAATTATTTCTATAATTGTAAAAAGAGAATATATGCTGTTTAAATGTTTAACCATCAAAAATTTGTAATATTTAATACATAGTACTAATGTAAGATATATCAAGCATTTTGTACAAATTAACTGGTAAATTAACTTTTTTATTTATTCTTGAATTGTTCAAGAACATTGCTAGGATTTTAAGAAAATGAATTAATAAAGATAATGTAAAATAATATTAGTTACACTTTTTAATATTATTAATACTCTTGTTTTAAATTAAAAAAATAATTTTTTAGTACTTAATATTTATATATTACATAATAAGCATTTTCATAGGCATACATGAATAAAATAATTAAAAATATTAACACAAAATATTTTTATTCTTTCTATTTTTTCATTTATCTTTTTTTGCAAAAAAAAAAATATGAGTAATGACATACAAATGAATTATATATAAAAAAATATTTATTCTTAACTTCAAAACGGTTGCAAATTAAAATCAATTCAATTTGAATATATTTTGATCTTCTAAAATTTAGAAAGTTCCGATTTATATCTATTTTCAGTCTTCTAAGATATGAAACATTCCATCTTGTATGTGATTTATTAATTGCCCACTAACAAACTTCTATAAATTATTTAACACACAAATTAATAAATAACATGCAGAATAGAGTCCATTAATTTTGTCTATTATCACATATTTTTGCTATAAATAAGAAAACATTATATAATTGAATTACACCCTATGAATAATAAAATTATGTAAATTTATAATTCTTTAAATAAAATATGTGTATCCAATATTTTATTTATTTTTATCTATCTAATTAATTTATGAGATATTTAATAAAATTAATAAAAAACTCACTTATATTCATTAAATCTTAAATATTTAGTATAAATATAAAATTTTGATTAAATATATAAATAATGATTCTAAAACAATTAATTATTTTTCATGAATATTATTTTTTTCATTTAGAAATAAAAATGAGAATTTTCGCTTTAAAAAGGATATTAATAATTTTAACGAAAAATTATTATTTTATATAAAATAAATATTTTACAAATATTTAAAGGATTTTATAAAGAATATTTATGTTTTAATGAAAATAAGGAGAAACGTTTACTAAATTAGTGTTTTATTAATTGCTTATTCAATAGTTATGTCATTTATTATCTGCCTCCTCAATGACTTTGTCATAAGTATTGAGGAATCAAATTAATAAAGAGTATGTAGAGTTTTCTCTACTAATTTAATTAATTAATGTATAATATTAATGCTATAAGCCAATAAACTGTTTTTATATATTACCTACTTCATTGAATATTTATTGTTTTTTTAAGAGGCATTTATTTACTTTAATAAAAATCCTTATTTTAATTAACAATTTAAATTCTACCTGAACATTAATCCTAATTAAATATATTTCTACTTACTATGTTATGAACAATATTTAGAAACTCAAATCGTCTATTTTTATATTAACAAAAATAAGTAGTTGATAAAATACACATTGAATTATGCAAACATTACAAATATGAAAATTTTGTTATAGTTATTGTAAAATTTTCTCTTAAAAATTCAAAATAAAAATTCACTATAAAAGAAAACTCTTTATTTTGTAAGTTACTTTTTATATTTTTCAACAAACTTTTTTCATCCTTCCATCTCTTTTTTTTTCCAAAATAAAATAAATAACGTTTTTATATATTTTATTTATAAAAAGAAAAAAAAGAAAAAATTGTCATCTAATTTTTTTTCCTTTTTTATCAAGCTCTCGAATAGATAACTATTTATTTTTTATATAACTAGTCATTTTCATTCTCAAAAAAGTTAATAATTTCTATTATTAAACATTTTGATAGTATTAAAAAAACAAATTAATAAAGAAAACTTAGAAAAAACTCATTCCATTTTTATTAAATTAAAATATTAAGCAATACGTTCACTTTATTAATTAATATTAAATATTAATTACATCAATTAATTACTATTTCTTCTAATTCCCACAATATCCCATGTATATAATAATTACCTTTTATTTTTAATCATTCATAAAAAGAAAATAGTTTAGATTATCATTCTCAAAAAAACAAAAAAAAAAAAAAATAATAACAAAATCATTATCAAAAAAAAATTAATAATTTTAAGTCATTTTTACAATAAAAATAATAAAAAATATCTACATTTTTCTTAGTGCATTTACTTATAGTACAGTTANATTATATATTATATTATATTTTTTATTCTTATGTAATAATAATTCAAACGAAAAATATATAAATACAAGCATATAATTACAAAAAATAAAAATAAAAAACATGATTATCTACTGCACATTTTATTTATTTTAAACATACTCCCTTAAAATGTGAAACTTATGACTAGGGGAAGCAAGAATAACAGTAGCTTCTTTTCCAGTATGCGGTATCCACAGTTCAAAAACTTAGTTTTCCATTTGTCTTAGATAAAGAAGAAAAAATGAGGTCACCATTAACCCCTCCTGAAAGAGTTTAGAATACCCTGGATAATTAAATATCACAGGCTCCAATGGAAGGATGAAAACTCTCAACTCTAAATGATCTTTTAAAATATGTGCAATCCTGTGTATATTTCATCAATACAATACTCTGATTTTATATCCTCCACCAATATAAGTATATACATATTAGGTGAGCAGAAATCTATCTGGGATAACTGCATATTTGGTGTGACACACACAAGACAGTTTGCTTTTTTCAACTTCAGTTAAGGATAAAACATGCTGTCTTCATTGGTTTTTACTACTGGTCTGATTTGAAGCAGATCTAAAGTAACATTAAACAATAAAAGCATAAATAAGGATGCACATTTTGCTGTTGAATTGAGATCTGTAGATAGCAGTTCCAGATCAACAATAAAAAATGAATCTGTTAAAATATTCATTTAAAAATTATCAAGAAAATTTACATAAAAATAGAATAATATTATTGTTTATATAACAAATAAAATTATAATTATATAAAATTGATTGTCAAAAAAATATATATAATATGATAAAATTTATAATATTAGATAATTAACAATGATATATTAAAAACTTATAACATTGCTTAGGTAAATAAAAAAATACAAGTGAAATAAAAGTGTGCATGCAATATCATTTTTATAAGCAAATAATAATGTATTAATAAAAAATAAAGAAATAACTAAAACATTATATATACAATACATATATATATATATTTTTTTATTGCTATAAATAAAATATATCTAAATTAAGTTTGGATTTGCACAATAATAACAACAGTGAACTAATATTAAATTAATTTTAATGATTATGTAACTGTTTTATAATTTTGTTAAATACTAATATTAATATTAAAATGAGAAAAATAAAAATAGAGAAAAATTTGTTATCATAAATGCTTCCTCATAAAAATATTAGTGAATAAATAAAAATTCTAAAAAATATATTAAATGAAAATATTAAATTAATTTTTTTTATAACTATATATACGTTAAAATCATAATAGAAAGCAGATTAAATATAAAATATATGTAATTAAATGTTAAGCTTTGACAAGTGAATAATAAAGAATATTATGGAAAATATTTTTAAGGACTAAATTCAAGAAAAACATATAATTGTATTTGCTTGTGATAATATCATTTTAACGAAAAAAATAATATGACATTTTAAATTATTAAGATAAATATGTAATATTCTTATCAATAGCTACGTAGTAATAAATGTATAAATGTGCAAGTTCTTTAAAGTATCAATAAAATACATTGAACAAATAATAGATATCAAAATAAATTAAAACTTCATAAGGTAAA